TGGAGCCCATCACTAGTAGGTTGGAGGCCATCGCTTCTAGGTTGGAGACCATCGCTTCTAGGTTGGAGGCTAGTAGGTTGGAGGCCATCGCTTCTAGGTTGGAGGCCATCGCTAGTAGGTTGGAGGCCATCGCTTCTAGGTTGGAGGCCATCGCTAGTAGGTTGGAGGCCATCGCTAGTGGCCATCGCTAGTAGGTTGGAGGCCATCGCTACTAGGTTGGAGGCCATCGCTATTTGGTTGGAGGCCATCGCTACTAGGTTGGAGGCCATCGCTATTTGGTTGGAGGCCATTGTTCTAGGTTGGAGGCCATGGCTGCTAGGCTGGAGACCATTGCTTCTAGGTTGGAGGCCATCGCTTCAAGGTTGGAGGCCATCGCTCTTAGGTTGGAGGCCATCGCTAGTAGGTTGGAGGCCATCGCTTTTAGTTTGGAGGCCATCGCTGTTAGGTTGGAGGCCATCGCTCTTAGGTTGGAGGCCATCACTCTTAGGTTGGAGGCCATCACTCTTAGGTTGGAGGCCCAGCAAAACACCTAGTTCTTGCCGTGTCTTCCCGTAATGATGCAATGCAAAATGGACCTGTTACACTTGTGCTCCAACAGCAATCAACTGTTTACTTAAAGCGAACAAAGCAGTGATCTTGAACCTGATGTTGCATGTCGGCACCCCCGCCTGCTCTGAGCAAAGGAGGGCTGAGTTACCTCACTCTTGAATGGCTCAAGAATGAATGTTCCAGCATTTGCCATTCTTCACGGCTGCAAGAATACCGCTGTCATGCTAGGACTATTTGAGCCCAAAAGGACACCAAACCAGTATAGGTTCTTGCGTGATCGAAGGCTTGGCTTGGCCAATTATTCTTTTCAACCAAGGGGCCGGTGGGATGCCATCAGCCTGGAACGAGATTTGGCCCCCGGCCTCACAGAACGAGTGCTTTCAGAACTTTGAGATGTCTGGGAGAAAATCTCGCTCTCTACCTGGAGAGGTTGAGAATGTACATGCACATAAGTGTTTTCTTTGCTAATCCCAGAGTAGCTGTTCCGCTGTTGGAAGGGGAAAAAACCATCCGTCTGAAAAAGGTGCTGCGATTGGAATGCCACGAAAGAGGTGAAGTCCTTTGTCTCGTTTACATGGCTTCAGCAGCTTAGTCATTCGAATATCGTTCTAGCACAGTGGAGTGGCTGTTCTCTCAGGTCATAAAACTTTACATATAAAGTGACCAAAATGGCCTCGTTGAGGAGTTCGAGGTCTGCTTGAAGCTCATCACTCGCATGCTGTAAGGCCATTCCATTCTGGTGGACGGCCTCGACATGTTCATGTGGCAGGCTGCTCCCTCGCCAGTGTTCAACTGAGGGTGGATGACAATTTCCAAAACCTTCATCAAACAGTATCAAACACTATGTTACTTAACACGACATAATTCTAGCAGGAGCTCTTTGACCTTCAGCTCAACCGAGCCACCACATTCACCATGCAAGTGAATAACAGTTACAGTATGAATAACATAGAGATTTGCACCCATGCATTACCCGCATACTAGTAGGTGTACACAAGTCATCATGAGTCATTAGTTTGGATGAGCACCACTTGCTCTTTTTACTGCATCCTAGCTGGAATCCAGCATCTCAACTTCTTCGGGCATAGTTGTTTGCACGTTGCTCTCGGCTTTCGGTTTAACGCTAGTAGGTTGGAGGAGTTGTTTGCACATGCTCTCCGTTTAACGCTCCTCAGTTCGCCTCCCAAACCACCTCTCGGTCGCTTCGCAGTTCGCCGGAAGCAAACACCAATGCGCTGCCGGTGTGTTTCACAGCGGCCAACACCACCTGGTGCAATCTGAAGGACTTCAACAAGCTTCGAGGATTCTGTTTAGAGCAAAGTATCACAGACTCGCAATATATAGCAATCTATTGACCTTGTTGACTCCTCAAACATCTAAATGAACTAACAAGTGATCATCATGCGCACAAAAACACGGTGCAAAGAAGGAAAGCCGGAAAGCCTCTCGATCTTCTCTCATATCCTTCCCTGCATAGAGCAGCGCCAAGCCTGCAATGGGGTCGAGAGGTCTGGTTGTGACCAGCCATTCCCGGTATACCCAGAGCCCAATCTTTTCGCATGAAGAAGTCAACAGCTGATGTTGCGTCGTCTAAGAGGTGGATTAGACGTCGTCCAAACAACAGCAGATTTGTCCAAGCAGTTCTTTTTCGCGTTGGAACGGATCTCGGCGGTGCCTTCAGCCCTGACAGCTTGCATCACCAAATCCTGCAGTGCGAAATCAACGGATCGAGCAGCATCGAGCGAGCAGTTCACCGAGTTCACCATCATCATAGTAGCGTCCGATCGCTCCTAGTAGCGATGCCAGGAGCCCCTAGTAGCGTCCTTGCTCCTATCATTTCCAAAAGCTATGTTTGATCCCCGAACCTGATCTCCAAGTATCTCCAATCCGAACGAACTCAAGATCCTTCCCAAGCCAAGTCCCAAGGTTTTCAAGTTAGGCCTCCATCGCGGCTTCCTTTGACCTCCCCGTCACCATGTCTGGCCTTGTGATTGGTCAATCTAGACGATGCAAAGCGCAGCGCGAAGGGGTTCCATCGCACTGCCTCTCGCAGCAGCTCTTCATCGTCTCCTCGGACATAGAGCGATCAAACAAAGAGAGGTGTTTGGTGTGGACACGTCAGGTATGAGGTTCTTGTGCTCATCTTTAGGAGATGAATTCCCCTTCCGATTTGTTTGCAAAAAAAGCGTTAGCGATTTTCTTTCTTCCACCAGTGCATATGAAGCACATACAAACCATTGGGCACCATCTATGTCTATCTATTGTTATTGTGATTCTTCTCGAGGAGCACAACTCCTGCAATGGTCGTGCATGGTTCGTGCACTGTTCAGCACGCGGACCGTATTTGTTTATTTTGTTTAGGGCACCATATTGAGCGTGGACTTTTTAAACGGATGGTGTGGACAGCCGACAGCTGAATCTTGCCATGTGAGTTGTCTGTTGTGAAATAAATGATGAGATGACAGTCCAGTCTACGCTCCTTTCCAGACCTCCGCGTCACCTGTCGGCGCAAGAAGTCTTCTTCTTTATATTCCTAGTAGCTTCTTGCTCCTAGTGATGCCAGGAGCCCCTAGTAGCGATGCCCTTGTTACTAGTAGCTTCTTCACTCCTTTTTCCAAGGCTCGCAGGTTTGGAGTCACAAACTGCAGCACCGCCGTGTTCAGCTGCAGAGCCTCGGACGCCAACGCCTGGTCTCCACGGAGCCGCTCCGAGGCGAACTGCAAGGCCTCGGTGTTCTGGAGTAGGGCCTGACGAAAGCGAGAATGGAATCCGTGGTCATTTCCAGCTTATTTATTTTAGCAGCTGGGAAAATGAGAATCATCTATCTGTACATATATATATATATTCATTCCAGTAGCAAGAAGTGATTCAAATTGGTCCAATCATGACATGTGGATATTTATGGTTTCCCTATGGTATCATTTGGCCCTGCCTGCCGCACAACGTCAAAGTCATCTTGGAAATTGGGTTGGCAAAATCGCAAGACCTTGCTCAAGCATCATCAGCCAGGTCTTCGATATTATCAGTATAAGTAGTATTATATATATACATATATTATAGCTGATACTGACTCCCTCAGTTTTGCTGGAAGATACAAGTTAACCTTTACCAAGTTTGACTCCTTGAAGTGAACAACACAAAAAAACTCGACAAGATCTTCTGTGAATCAACAAGAAGCTATTAGGGCTCCTGGCCATACTACTAGGAGCAAGGACGCTACTAGGGGCTCCTGGCATCGCTACTAGGAGCAAGGACGCTTCTAAATTGAAGGAATTCTCCATGCGGAACCTTGGAACGAACCTGAGGTCCCAACCCTCCAGTTCTGCGTCACTGCTTCCAGCACCAAGTGTCGATCTCCCTTCAGCTCAGGAGGCAACTTCCCCATCACCTCACCGATGAAAGCAAAAGAGACAATCTCTCTGACAAGAGGCAAGTAAGAAAAAGCGCAAGAGACAATCTTTCGTTTCGTGTCCAGGTCTCTCCGTCAGACAATCTGTCCGCTCGTCCGCTCGTGTCTCTCTGTATCTCAAGACATTGAGGCAACGTCGGACCATTTCTCAAGACACAAGCGAACTGTGTTTGACTCCTCGAACTATGGGATTGACATCGCCGAGAGCGAGCCATGCATGCTGGCATGCTGGACTCTTGATTGATATTTCAACACACACAATATTATATACACATCATTTAAACACAATGTTATGCATATATATATATATATAATCATATATACCTGAGAAGGGAGGAACGAACGCCAGTACTGCTGGCCCACATTCACAAACAAAACTTCAGTCTAGTCCACTGGCTGGCTTTTGTTAAAAAAGGACAGTATGCAATGTGCAACGCATACTGTAGAACAACTTGGCCAACTCATTCCCACCGGCCTGGGCCCTTCGCTGCAAGGCCACATGTAAGACGCTGTCTTTGAGTTCCGACACCAATCCATGCTGGAGCACCACCGGCAAACGCCTGCAGCTTTGGAACTGCCAAACCCGCATGATGCGTTTTCAGCCCTTTGAATCCGCGGTCTACCTTCCGGATTCGAGTCCGATGTGAAGACTGATACTGGCAGTAGTCATTCCCCATGTGATAGTAACAGTTCGCTGGCCTCTTTAAGGCCAAACTAAATGCATATACTGAAGCACATCTGAGTCTAAGCAGAACGCTTTTCCAGCTCGTCATCCTCATCTTCTGGCAAGACAACCTCAAACCAGGATATTCTCTGAGAAACGATGAAGCATTGGTGTATGTTCGGTTAGGACAGTGCCTCTCCTTTGAGGCCAAACTCAGACCACGAACTGAGGGCAGGCTTTGCTCATGCAGCCTTCTCAAAGCATTGTTGAATTTGGACTAGCACTTCACTTGCATTTGCACACGGCTTCCCCTACGCATCAGCTACAGTATGTTGAATGGTGTTGAATCTGCCAAGTCTGGCTGGAGGACATCGCTATCATTAGGTTGGAGGCCAGCGCTCCTTTTGGTTGGAGGCCATCGCTCGTAGGGTGAAGGCCATCACTAGTTGGGTGGAGGCCATCGCTACTTGGGTGGAGGCCATCGCTATTGGGGTTGGAGGCCATCGCTCTTAGGTTGGAGGCCATCGTATTGTGTTGCCGTGCTCCCAGCATGTCCCAGCGGCACCGCCCAACATCGACCAAACAGTTTAAGACACCAATGCCCGCAAGGTCCGTCGCTGGCGACGCCACAGCTCCTGAAACCAAAGAACGCCGCAAAACACCTAGAAAGAACGGCATGGCCCTGTGGATGATGCTGCGTGATGTCCCAGACATGTTTGAGAAATGATCAGACATACAAACAGATGACGTCCGATCGTCCACCGTCTCCTGGAGCGGAAGGTTGTCTTGGAGTGGTACCGTCCTTGACTCTGCTTCAGCCGCCTGCTCAGCCTGTCACATGTGCCCCGCAAGGGGCATCTAAAGGTCTGGTTCAAAGAACCGTGTTCTCATTCAGAGATCATGGGCAAGTAGCACCAGGCAGCAACACAATTAAACACCGTCAATATCAGCCATCAGACACTGGACTGGACAGTCCGGCAGTCCGGCCTCTTCGAAAAGCCGCAGCATCTTTGCACTCCTGGCTGACGCGATCCCAATGGACCTATGCAATTGAGCATGCACCTTGTGTTGGTCTAGTATCTCTCGGTAACAACATGTAAAACCCTGATTTGCTTTGAATCGTTCCTCCTCTTCGTGCAACAATTCATTCGAGATCTGCTTGCCAAGCTGCTGTAAGCCTTTGGCTTTACAAAGCGCCATTTTGAGATCCAACACTTCTTGCAAGTCATCCAACTCTGCAGCCTCAGAAAGATTCAGATTCAGCCGGCTTTATTGGCAAGTGCTTTGCTTGGCAGTGTCATGTGTTCATATCCTTTGATGTTGCTCTTGGCTCCCAAAACACCTCTCTTTTGCAAAACAACATAAGCGAAGCGAAACAAAAACACCGGGCGATTAGCACATCCACACCTTGAAATGGTGGAAAGGCTCGCCACCTTGCGCGAGGTCAGCAAACAGCACTAGCGAACGCTGTTAGGGCCCAAACTAAGCAACTGAAAATGTTCGGTTGTTTCTACGTTCGCTTCCATTGTTACTAGTAAGGCACTTGTTACGCACGAAGCGATGCCCTTTGTGGAACTCTTTTCCCGGGGCTGGGGTAGGCCGCTGTCGTAGCTAGGTAGTAAACACGCTCCCACTATTCAACTGCGTTCATGTGGTTCCTAGATTTTTAGAAAAACAACTAGTAACTAGTCACTAGTCACTAGTCCGTCTGGTGAACGGGCAAATTGCAACGGCAGAACAATTGAAGCTCACTGCTGAACAATTCCAGCAGAAATTGATGACAAAGCCACTCATTGCGCCAAGGATTACCACATCTTCCATGGTAGAGACCGCACGAAGCACCGATCTACACTGCGTTCATGTCTGATGATCTCTGCAATTCATGGCACCATTTGATCCATTCTGGTACATGCAACTCCGTTTGAGCCAAACTTGGAGCCCGATTGCTTTGCCAATCATGATTGTCCTCCTGAGGTATACCTGTCATGGTGCAAATGTCCAGCCCAAAGGTGCCAAAGGGGCAATTTCTTGTAGACCAATCTCACTGCCACAGGATTCTCTTGTGTTCTTGGCTTCTTCGCATTTTGGTTGGCTTCTTTCGCATCGCGGTCTAAAGCCTGAGCTTCTCGATGCGAAAGTGGATCGGCTCCGCTTCTGGCATCGTCGCCAAGGAGTCACAAACCACCTGGAGGGGCGAACTTCTTGCTTTGGCCACTCTTTGACACCTTTTCGAAGAACAAACAAGAATATGAACTCTTAAAAAAAGAAAACAACACACTTACCTCTTTGATCTGTCCATTCGCGAAACAATATCGTCAGTTCGGCACTTCTTTTACACGCACCACTTCTCGAGCCTTCAGGGCAGCCTTGGTCCGCTCTGCAGTGGTATGAGGGGGTTGTGAGATGAGCGCTCCGTAACCACGCCATCTGTCCTCCTCGAACGGTCTGCAGACGCAAAGCAGCGCACGGATTCGGAACTTGCAAAGGGGAAGTTCCGAGTTTCGACCAATTACAGCAAAAATTACAAGCATCCAGTTACAGTGCGCCAAATTTGCGCAAATTGTTCCCTGTGTTTGCCATCTGCCAATCCGTGTTACAAATTTGAGCGAACATTTTGGCGCTCTGACATGCTCTGACGGTGTATTTTCCATGTCTTGTTCGCTCCAATTTGATCCAATTTGCACAGCTAGAGCCCGTGCACGGTGCAAGAGCTTGCACATATCGAAGGGCTTCCCAACACGCTGTGTCCCTTTCTTGAGAGCTGTCGGCCATGCTGCAAAACGGCTCAAAGCACAAAGCAACGACAGTGCCTGCCACACATCACATGACTGCACCACAGCTGACAAGACATCACCTGATCCGAAATCAGCACAACACACCACCACACATTGCATCATGACATATATATATATATATTATATATATACAATATATCATCAAATATCATTGCAACGCGACCAACGTCGCCACAGGTGTCACCACCAACAGTTGCATTCTGTTTCACACTTCCGCGTCCTGAGCTCAGCGAGCTCCGTGCTACAACCCCTGCGCCGAAGCTTACTTAGACTGCATGGAAGAACTGAGAAGAAGGTGACGGATGCGACGACTCAGAAAGGTCCTTGGAATCTTCATGCCAAGCCTTGTTTTCGACCTCAGTGTCAAAGGCCCACTCTGTTCAACTGTTTTGAAACAGCAAAAAGCGGTGAGTGACAGCATTTGACAGCGGTAAAACATCCGCCCGGACTCAAACGTTTCTCAAACATGTTTTCACCAGTCCTTCGAGTCCTTCATTTTCTGGGATCAATTGCAGCTGAAAAAGAGCTTGAGCCTCGCTGCGTAAGCTTCAATGGTCATCAGATCCAGCGTTTTGTCAGCCCGCCTCACTGACATGTTGAAATCCTCAGAACAGCGTGCCAACACCAAACAAAGAATCTTTGAAACACATCACGTAAGCAGTTTGGGTATGGGGCCTTTCTCCTTTACATGAGGGCAGCAGCATGTTTTGACTGTTCACGTATTTTCACTTGGGACAGAAGAGGACTAAGCCCAAATAATCCATGGGACATCGCCCGAAATTGATCGGCAAATATTCCAGTCCCATGGATTGGTAGGGGAGCAGCGTCCTCAGGCGCCCTGTTCGTAAGGCCAGGAGCCCCGTTCGGTTCGCGTCGCTTCTCGCTCCCTTCGGTCGCGATGCGCCAGGAGCGCCCCGTTCGTCGCTCCTTTCGTCGCTACGCCGACGCCGGGGGTCAGGGCGCCACGGTGCCGTCGCCAAGAGTCTCTGGCCTTCTTCTCGTACTGAGGACCTTCCAGTCATCCAGCCGACGGAAAAGACGTCGCAGCCGAAGGATTCAAGCCACATTCAATACCAACATGTTCAAACATGACTATGTTAAACATGTTCACACTTCGGTCAACACGGCTTCGGAAGCAAACAGTTCGCAAACAGTGATCCGTTTTTCATGTCTCAAAGTTGATCCGTCGAGCCTATGGGATACGTGATCACCACAGTGGCTGAACGCCAATGCTTCCAGAGATCCACGATCAGCGTTTTGCACCGTTCTGCTTCTCCTCCACGAGTGTAGTCGGGGTCAATGAACACCTGGGGCGGTCAGCATCTACAGCCATGAACGTAGCAAATAGTAGACTCATGTAGACTCTGAATCAAGTCAACATAGTCAAACTTTGAGGTACGCTGGCAAGTTCTATTCCATCCTTTTCCCGATTCAAGCTTGAAGAAGTAGCTTCGTCTTGTACTGAAATCTTGCACCCTTCCAGAAAATGCATCGCAGCAGCTACCCCTCTCTGGCCATTGTACTTGCCATACCTAAGTTCTCAAGAACACGTTCTTTTGGAGCGCCTGCTAGAACCTACTTCCTTGATCTTCCGTATGCCTTATCCATGTCATACAACAAGCCTGGAAGTCTTCCCAGTCTCTCTTGCAGTGTTATCCTTTCCAGTTTGCCAAAGTGCACTTCAGAAATGGAGCCTGGTTTGTGTTGTACCCATCTTCGGTGGCAATGCTTCAAGCCGTCTTTGAAGATGAGCCTTGGCGTGTGTGTGTGTGTGTGTGTGTTCAACTGTTACTGGATCATGTGTGTATTCCGGTACCCTGGATATAGCACCACAGGTTCATGCTGTGCTGCTCTGTTGCAGCCCCAATAAGCAAACTCTTGCAAATTGCAGTGAAGCAAGGAACTCGATGTGCGGTTGCACCTTTGAGCTCCAATTCCGGACAAAGTTGAAGAGAGGCGCAAAAGCCCGACGGCTATCCTGGCTGAAAGTTCACAATGGACCTCAATGGACCTTTGGATCAAGCCAACCGTGACAAACATAGTCATGGAAGGCATTGCAAATGCCGCCAGAATCGGATTGAATAATAGGAGAGGATTAACCTAGTAGTAGTGGCCTCCAACCTACTAGCGATGGCCTCCACCCTGATAGCTAGGGGATTTCTCAAACAATCTGGTGTTCTATTACTTCTTTCTTGAGCTGCTGTGGCTTGCCTTGCTTGGCACCACAGAAACAGAACATGGCCAATCGCAAATTGGCCTCCCAAATGGTCACAGGATCTTGTTTTCCTGAGATCTTTCAGCTTCCGAACGGCGGTAACCTGCGATGAAAAACACATCTGGCGAACTCTGGATCGCTACTAGGAGCAAGGACACTACTTGAGATGTCTCTCAGGCCGTACTTCTTGTCATCACAATTCTAAGTGCATATTCCACGACCAAAAGAGACGGCGCACGCAAGCCAAGGGGCTGAGCAAACGCAAAGCAACCATGGTAGTACTTGGCAACCATTGTATTCCTTTTGGAGCCTTGTCAGCTCCTATCAGGTGCTTTGCTACGCTCTGCATGTGACAAGCAACCTGTTGAGCCAATTCAGTTGGGATTACCACTGGAATCGAGAGAATGACAACGGATCGCGGATGGAAGATCCATGAAGAACCCACGCTTTTATTTGTTTGCGCTGATGCTTTTCTCCCTCTCTCTCTCTCTCTTGCAACTTACTTTCCACCTGTCTCTCTCTCTCTCTCCTTTTTCCCCTCTTCCAACAAACGAAGGTCTGGGACATTTGCCTTCGTGCCTCCCTCTCCAAACTGACGCCACATGAAGCTGCTCCCAAGGAATGTGACTCTCAACACTGGTCCCAGCCGCTTGGTTGTCCAAACCACATCCCCATCCCAGCCACGTTGGTCCTTCGCCAGTCTCCTCAAACTCCATGTCTTCGGAGAAGTTCCTCACACAAATAGTAATTACATGAGAAGCACAGGAGAATGATTACACATATTATGAGGCATTGCCGGCCTCAACGATCAACTTGAGGCCAGGGGGAGGAGGTCGAAAGCTAGCGGAAGCGCACCGGACTTTTTCGGCTGAGAATAAAAGTTAAAGCAGGACAAATAAGAGTGCTTATGAAAGGCTGAGGAGAAATAAGAGTGCTCTATTGGGTAAATTTACCCCTCAGATTTTGTAGAAGCTATGGCAAGCATTTCTTGCATCACTGATGTGTGGGTGCAAATAGAGCTGGAGGCCCCCTCTGGACTGCCCCAAAGAAGCTTGACTTACGTTTATATAACTGATACTTTGTAACCGGCAAAGGCCTCCAAAAGTGGGGGGTAAATTGACCCCTCAGATTTTGTAGAAGCTATGGCAAGCATTTCTTGCATTCTCTGATGTGTGGGTGCAAATAGAACTTGAAGCCTCCCCTGGACTGCCCCAAAGAACCGGCAAAGGCATCCAAAAGCGGGGGGTAAATTTACCCCCCAGATTTTCTAAAAGCAATGCATTTTTGATGTGTGGGTGCAGCCCCCTCCGGGTCTTGAAGTAGTAGAGGACTGCAATGAAGCGCCACGCAGTAAGGTGTCCCTGTCTGCCCGGCCGGGTGTTTCTCTGAACCTGTAGCTGTTAAGAAAGACAGTAAAGGACACATCATGCATTCAGTGGAATGGTGGTATGCACCACAACAATAAGCGAAGCGGCACAGCTGGGAGTTGAACCGCGGGGGGGGGGGTTAGCTTGATATATCAATCTTTAAGGCACGCAGCCCCTCCCACCACAACATCGCTAAAGCAAAGAAGAACTCAGCTAGCATGCTAGCTTTCGTGACTTTCAACTGCCAAGGAACAACATCTGCACGGTCTCCATCCATCCCTTCACCTCTGGGGGCATGTAGGTAAGATCTTGATCTTGCAGGACGGAGTACAAGTCCTGGAAAATACGACAGCTGAGTCTGAGTCCATGCAAGTGCTTCCATTCCTTCCTGTTTACCAGTTTACCATTCACTACTTTGGACTATAGGCAAGTCATTGAAGAATCTCCCTTGAACCCGTCTTGAACCCTGCAGTCTGTCCGAACCCTGGCAGTCAATCCACCATGTGATGCCTTTCTCTGAACATCGTCTTCTTCTCGAATCTTCTCGACACGGCTTCTTCGCGAAACGCCGCAGTGACGTCGCTGTCACTCGGCGAGGCCTCCAAACCTACTACAAGTAGCGATCCAACCTACTAGCAATGACCTCCAATCTAGCAAAAAGCAATGGCCTCCACCCTACTAGCGATGGCCTCCAACCTAAAAGCGATGCTACTCGTTTCACTCCTCTGCTTTGGGCCACCTCATGGACGGCCGATCATCCAACTCCCCTCGCATGCGTGAGACGTGGTACTCGCCCTCGCCACCACAGGGCTCGACGTACCACACGGGGCTTTCCTTTCGAGCGGCAACAGAACGACTTTGCAGAATAGCATTTCTTGCCAACAACAAGCAGCAAACAGCACTTCAGGAGACAGGCAGGTGTGAGCAAGACTGAGCCAGATTTCACCTCCCCAACGCGTTTTGCAAAATTCTGCATGTTTGTTCCGTTAGAATCAGACCATCTTGGACCGTTCTCTCATCTTTGTGTCCTTCTTTTCGACTTTCAGCTCGACGATGGTGTGAACCAAGAGTTGCTTGAAGATGTCGCCAAAATTCCCGGCTCGGTATGCATGCCTCGAGTGTCTGGTGGTTGCGGTTCGGATTGATACCCCAAACGCATAATGAACCATTTCCACGCAATTTGTCCTCTTTCCCCTACCACTTGTCCGGTGACTAAAACTTCTTAGCTGTGCCTGTCAAAGGTTTGAACCTGTGCTCCAGTTCGCCGCTGGGTCAGGGGCAGCTTGTCCACAGGTGCCAAGCCTGGCTTGAAAAAGTGAAGAATTTTGGTGTATTTTTTGTTTTTTAAGGAGATGCTTAAGCTCCTAATAGGGATGCTTAAGTAAGTAGGCACAATGGCCTCCAGCCTAATAGCAATGGCCTCCAACCTATTAGGAATGGCCTCCAAGTTACTAGGAACGGCCTCCTATATATTTAATTTAAGTAGGCACCTACTTCATTAAGGAAGGTATTAAGCCACTATATATAGCTACTTAGGCTACTACATATGGAGGAGAACTTCCTTGAAGAAGCGCTCGCACTAATGATCTGGTTTCTAGATTGTTTGTTGGAAACTTAAGACACGACAGCCGTCCTGGCGGCTGAGCCGGGAAGTGAATGAGAAGGAAACATGGAGTAAAGAGTTTGGATTGAGCAACTGGAGGTTCAAAAGGGAATGCAGTTTGACGGGAGAGGAATCCAAAAGCGACACATGAACATGCACCAAACAGAGCGAGCTAGATCGAAAGGAAGATGCATGATTTGTGATAGGACGGTTTTGGTGGGTGCGGCGGGCGGAACCCTCGATTTCGCCAAACCCGATGGCCGACGTCAGGTTCTTAGGGTGGAAAGTTCGGTCTCCAGTATGTTCCATTGTCCCTTAAAGAGTTTCATTGTCCCTAAAAAAAACACACCAAAACCAAGAAAACAGCCTAGGAACACACTGCCTGTTGAACTGCTTCACAACCTGCCACGGGCCCTTCGGCTTCGACTCGTCGCCTGGATAGTACTTGGCCCACTCAGGAGTATGGTCGGAGTCCCGCTCCTCCACAGCGGTAGCTATCTGCCTACGCAGCAAATTTCGAAGCGATTCGGCATGGAGCCATAGACAGTAAGTAATCACATGTTTTCATCTGATTTGATGTCAAATGTACTGAAATATATAATATACAACATATATATATATATATGGTGGTTGATCAATATTCATTCATCCTGGAACGGCCATTCTTCGCGGAAAAACATATCTTTCGCGGATCTTTCGCGGCCTCATCGCAAAGCATGGTCCTACAACCATGTCTGGCTAACATGAGCCGGACATGTCATAGTATCACAAAATAAGGACAAACATCTTGCAGTAATACACATTCATGTAGTAATATAAAGTATTTGGGCACGCATACTGCAAACAAACTGCGTAACCGTCGCAGCGTCAACCGCACTTTCCCGCAACCTCTTTAATTAATCGATCTTTTTACAAAACAAGACTGTGCTGCCACGGGTTGCTTCATGCATCTCGTAGTATCTCCATTCGTGTTTCCAAGATGTCTATCTTCCCAAGCGACAGGTATTAATCAACTATAATAGGCATCTTCTCCAGGGTCCAGTGACAGTTGCTGAGAACTTGGAGCAAAACTTGGTCGATTGACTGGACCACTTTCACCCGCCAAGCGACTGGCTGGGTGGTCGAAGCCACCGTCGGATCCGTGATCCACCAATTTTGCACCCATCGGTGGACATCAACTTACAAGTTTCCTAAAACTCTAGGAGCCAAAGCACTAGTGCAAACGCTTGCGTCCATGCCATACCAGTAAATATGATACTAGTATAGTAGCTTAAGTAGCTACTAGCTACATCTCTTCTACTAGCTGCCTCGGCCGGGCTAAAAAGGAGCTTGCACGGTTCCGTTGCCTCTGTGTGGGCGTCTCGTAGGCACGGGACCTGGCCAGGCCACCTTGTCGGTCCGTGTTGCGCTGCAGTCTGCCCTCGGCGGACCAGCGGTCGTAGACCTCGAGCAACACGTCTCTCTCTCTCTCTCTCAAGATAATTCAAATCATCTCAAAAACATCTCCCAGTCACCTGGCATCGCTACTAGGAGCAAGGACGCCACTAGGTGGAGACCATCGCAAGTAGGTTGGAGGCCATCGCTACTGGGAGCAAGGACGCTACTAGGTGGAGGCCATCGCAAGTAGGTTGGAGGCCATCGTTACTAGGAGCAAGGACGCTACTAGGTGGAGGCCATCGCAAGTAGGTTGGAGGCCATCGCTACTAGGAGCAAGGACGCTATACTGGGTGGAGGCCATCGCAAGGAGGTTGGAGGCCATCGCTACTAGGAGCAAGGACGCTACTAGGTGGAGGCCATCGCAAGTAATGTCAAGACCGGATTAATAACCCTTTTCCCCCACATGGTAGGTCAACAAGGTCAAGATGATATGAGATTCCATTCATGAGGTCCCCTCCCCCTGAATTATCTGCTCAGGGAGCAATCGTAGTCGCAGTCGTCGCCGGTAGTAGGTAGTAGGTAGTAGGTAGTAGGCAGTAGTGGTAGCAATTGTAGTAGTAGTGGTGGTGGTGGTAGTATTATAATAATAGTAGGAGTAGTAGTAGGAGCAGCAGCAGTAGTGGTAGTGGTAGTCGCAGTAGCAGCAGCAGTAGTGGTAGTAGAAGACACAACAAATTTAAACAAGCACAAAGAAACGGCCAGGGACACAGGATCAAATTAATAGGGGGTAGTAGTGCAGATTATTGATGGGGGACCGGCCCTTGTGAGGGGTACCTTTGTGAGCTTGTCAAATGATTGTTTTTACTTGCTTTTTAATACGGCAATTTATTGGCCCTGAGCCCTAGACATTTTGAACGATTTCATCAAACATGTAGTAGGTAGTAGGTGGTAGGTGGTAGGTGGTGATGGTTGGTGGTGGTGGTCGTGGTAGTAGCAGTAGCAGTAGCAGTAGCAGTAGCAAAGCAGTAGTAGTAACAGCAGCAGCAGCAGTAGTAGCAGTAGTAGCAATAGCAGTAGCAGTAGCAGTAGCAGTAGCCGTAGCTGTAGCCGTAGCCGTAGCGGTAGCAGTAGCAGTAGCAGTAGGAGTAGTAGTAGTAGTAGTAGTAATACGAAAAATTGACCTGGTTGTGGGGTCGGATAAAGTGGGGGGGATTGTTGGTAGAAAACTAGACCATAGGGGTGGAAATCAACAACCAATACTACTTTTAATTTGGGCAATTTCCGGCGGCTTTGAGGGCTCCGGTTAACTAGGGGGGATTTATTAATACTTACTTGCCATTAGGTTGGAGGCCATCGCTACTAGGAGCAAGGGCGCTTCTAGGTGGAGACCATCGCAAGTAGATTGGAGGCCATCGCTACTAGGAGCAAGGACGCTAGTAGGTGGAGGCCATCGCGTACAGTAGGTTGGAGGCCATCGCTACTAGGAGCAAGGACGCTACTAGGCGGTGGCCATCGCAAGTAGATTGGAGGCCATCACTACTAGGAGCAAGGAAGCTACTAGCAAGGATGCTACTAGGTGGAGGCCATCGCAAGTAGGTTGGAGGCCATTGCTACTAGGAGCAAGGACGCTACTAGGTGGAGGCCATCGCAAGTAGG